GTGCTCGGCACGGACTGTCCAAAACGAACACCATGTTCAAGCATAAGAGTGTTCATATGTGCTCCTGGCACCAGGATACTCTAGGCCGCAGTTCAATGCTGACCTGCGGCCACATGTTTTGGACACTCGGGTGAAGTGGGGGGCGGAGCTTTCCACTGAACACTACCTGGTGGTGAGTTGGCTCCGATGGTGGGGGAGAATGCTGGTGAGACCCGGGAGGCCCAAATGCATTGTGATGGTCCCCTGTTAGGCGGAGCTTTAACTACCACCTCCGGGAGAGCTTCGAGCACGTTCCGGGGAAGGCGGAGGACATTTAGTCCGAGTGGGCCATGTTCCGCGCCTCCATTAATGACGCACCCTCCCGGAGCTGCGGACGCAGGGCTGTCGATGCCTATCGTGGTGGTAACCCTCGAACCCGCTGGTGGACAACAGCGGTGAGGGATGCCGTCAGGGCGAGGAGTCCTATTAGGCCTTTTTGGCCTGTGGGACTCCAGAAGCAGCTGATGGTAACGGCAGTCCAAGCGGCATGCGGCTCGGGTGGTTGCCGAGGCAAAAAACTCGGGTGTGGGAGGAGTTTGGGGAGGCCATGGAAAAAGACTTCCGTAGGCTTTCGAGGCGATTCTGGTCCACCATCCGGTGTCTCGGGGGGGGGAAGCAGTGCTCCACCAACACTGTTTACAGTGGTGATGGGGTGCTGTTGACCTCAACTCGTGACGTTTTGGATCAGTGGGCGGAGTACTTCGAAGACTTCCTCAATCCCACAGACGCATCCTCCATTGGAGGGGCAGAGCCTGAGGATCTGGAGTCCGGGGCTGAAGTCAACGAGGTAGTCAAAGCTCCGCGGTGGCAAGCCTCCAGGGGTGGATGAGATTCAGCCGGAGTTCCTAAAGGCTCTGGATGTTGTAGGGCAGTGTTGGCTAACGTGACTCTGTAACATCGCGTGGACATCAGGGGCAGTTCCACTGGATTGGCAGACTGGGGTGGTGGTCCCCCTCTTTAAAAAGGGGGACCGAAGGGTGTGTTCCAACTATAGGGGCATCGTGCTCTTGAGCCTCCCTGGGAAAGGAGGGTCCGTCAGATAGTTGAATCTGGGATTCAGGAGGAACAGTGTGGTTTTCGTCCTGGCCGTGGAACGCTTGATCAGCTCTATACCCTCAGCGGGGTCATGGAAGTTTGCTCAACCAGTCCACATTTGTTTTGTGGACTTGGAGAGAGCGTTGGACCGTGTTCCTCGGGGTATCCTGTGGGGGGTGCTCAAGGAGTATGGGGTACCGGGCCCTTTGTTACGGGCTGTTCAGTCCCTGTGCGACCAGAGTCAGAGCTTGGTTCGCATTGCCGTTAGTAAGTCGGATCCGTTTCCAATGAGAGTTGGACCCCACCAAGGTTACCCTATTTCTCTGCTTCTGTTCATAACTTTTATGGACAAAATTTCTAGGCACAGCCGAGGTGTTGAGGGTGTTTCATCTTGGGGGCTATAGGATTACATCTCTGCTCTTTGCAGATGATGTGGTCCTCTTGGCTTCAGCAAGTCGGGACCTATAGCTCTCTTTGGAGCCGCCGAGTGTGAAGCGGCTGGGATAAGGATCACTGCCACCAAGACCGAGCCCATGGTCTCTTACCGGAAAAGAGGTGGCTCGGGGATCCGATTAGGATGCCTCCCTTGTGAGGTGTTCCGGACACGTCCCACCGGGAGGAGGCCCAGAGGAAGACCCAGGACATGCTGGAGGGACTATGTGTCTCGGCTGCCCTGGAAACGCCTCGGGATGCCCCAAGCTAGCAGAAGTGGAAGGGGAGAGGGAAGTCTGGGTTTCCCTGCTTCGGTTGCTGCCCCCGCGACTTGACCCCGGATAAGCAGCGGAAAATGGATGGATGGATGGATGGATGAATGTGCTCAGCAATGGGTACAGAGGGCCACTGCACCCCCCTCCCCCAGGAGCCCAGAGGCTGCAGAAGGAGCACAAGATCCAGGACACCAGGGTCCCCCCAGAGCACAGAGATCAGCCAACCCACCACAGGGACATCACACACCTACCCAGAGGACCGCAGAGGAGGCCTTGGGTACGGCCCCGACGGCAGCGGAGCAGAGCCCCCCCCAGCACCAGGGGCAGCAGCCTACCGGCCCTGCCAGGCCCAAACCACCCAGGAGCGGGACCCGGGGCCTGAGCGCCCCCAGCCCCCAGCAAAGAGCCTGGGGCGGACTCGCTCCCGCCCCAGCACCCCAGTGCAGCACCCCAGAGCTCAATCTGACCGCAGGCGAGTGCAGCAATGAGCGGCGAGGAGGGGCAAGGAAGGGGCAAGGCACAAACCCCCCCAACCGGGGATAGCACAGGAAGGCCAAACCTAGTCCCAGACCAAGCCCCCTCCACACTCACTCACTCACTCACTCACTCACTCACTCACTCAGGGATGCAAGCCACTGCTGGCAGACAGTGGAGATCCTCCACAGCCCCACCCCCACCAAGGGCCCTCAGTTTCAGATGATGCCAGGACCCCGGAGCCACGCCGACAACCCGAACTTCCGCACAGCTACCCAGCCCTGTGTGTTGTATATATGTGTGGTATGTGATGGTGGCTAAGATTTACAGCCTTTTAAGTTTGTGGTGGTACCTAGGCTTGGGACGCAGATGGTCGTGGCCGACTTCCTCCCCCCTTCCCATGGGGAGGGGGATGAAGGGGCTCCCCAGCCTAAGTGTGGCGGTGGAGGTATGTGGAGGGGGCGTGGCGCTAAGCTGCAGGAGAGGAGGTGAGGGGAAGGTTCAGGGGAGTAGGGCCAGGGGAGGTGATTAGCACACATAGAATAGGTTGGCTAATCACTCTCCCCTCGTATAAAAACAGTAGTGTGCTGGACCTGGGAGGAGAGGACTGGAGACGGAAACAACGGAAACACCATTTGAACCCCCAAGTAGCTCATCGGTGTGTGTGTGAGTGCATGCGCGTACCCAAAATAAAGCATCTTACAACAAAACCAGGTCTCAGAGAATTTGTCGAGGCACCCACAGTGGCTGAAGGATTTGAACTAGTTTAAAGCCATATCGGAGATTCCCACCAGGTCTTCTAACCTCTGTAATGAAATGGTCTACTGTATTGAACACGGCACTCAAGTCCACCAGAACCAAGACTGGCACTTTGCCTGCATCTGTGTTCAGGTGGATATCGCTTGTCACCTTGATCAAAGTTGTCTCGGTGATGTTGTGGTACCTAAAGCCTGACTGGAAGGTATCAAACACATTGTTAGACAGAAGAAAGTCAGTAAGCTATTGGTATACAACTTTTTCCAGGGGTTTTCCCAGGAATTGCAGGTTTAATATGGGTCAGTAGTTGTTCAGTACTGTGTTCAGTTATTGAATTGGGAAAAGTTCCAGTATGAAGTGAAATGTTGACTAGATGAGCTAGTTGTGGTAACAAACTGCTCAGCACTGACTTTAGGAATCCAGTGGGTGACTCATCAAGGCAACACGTCAATGGACTCAGGCTGTAGATGAACATTAACCTGGAGCTTTGATGTGTGCTACTTCTATTTGGCTCTTCCAGTACCCCCTTTTCTGTGTCCTGACCAAGTACTCTTTTCTCCATGTTGCATTTTGTCTACTTTTAACCATTCTTACCTTTTTTCCTTTTGTCCTATCCAGCATCATGGCAAGTACAATAGTTCTCTGACCAACATACTTATGCCATGGAAATGTACTTTTCCCCCCAAAAATGTACACAGCGCCCCAGCCCCAAAAGCCCTGTGTGTTGTGTAAATGTGTGGTATGTGACGATGACTAAAGTGTTATGTACAGTAGACTGAGGTCAGGTGTCTGTGAAGTGCTTCAAAGGTCTGTCCGTTTTATCCCATCCCACATGTCACACAACTGGTGATCTGCAGCAATTACAGCAGATGGGGGGCACTCATTTCAACTCATAAGTTTATTCAGACCACTGAGGTGGGCCAGAAGTATGGTTAGGATGCCCCCAGGTCCCCAACCTTTTGAAGATTACAAAAGTGGATGTATCTAGTCGGAGGAGGTGACAGGTGTTTGCTTCACTTTGGCCCCAATTTCATGTCTTTTTTTTACCATCTGATAGAGGGCTATCAGACATGTGCTTTCTGGCATAAGCTTCATATTTCTGTAAAACAGGGTAGTTGAAATTCATTTTTTTCCTGTGGGGATTCACATTCTTCTTTGAACTTTATAGCTTTGGGCTGGTATGATGTCCTATAGACTTTTTCCCTCTTCGTTCTTAGTGGGTGTATACTCATGGTATTGTCTTGGTACACTTTGGATGGTTCAGTGAGTAAGGCCTTCTCCCTTTTTATGGTGCATTTTGAGCACACATTTTACATTGTTTTAGTTTATTGCAGATTTGATTTACTGGCATTTGCTTGTGCACAATGACCTTCCACAGCCAAATATACCCAAACAATTATAAGCATGATGGTGTTTATTCTTAGAACACTGAGAATTTCTCCTGGCTTCCTACAGAAAATAATATTATTACTTCAGTACGTAACTTGAACATTAATTATCTTGAATCAGAGATCTAGCTTTTGGAATGGTTGAAAATTCTCAAACTATTCCATAATCTGATTTTAGGCTGAACTTTTGGGGGTATTAATGGACAGCAGTAGTTACTTTTCTAAGATATCTACAAGTCGCTTTCCTCCTTGGCATTATGCAAATACACACACCAATGCCCCAGACCAGCAAACTGCCATAATTTCTCTCTCTATGGAAGTTCGTACATTTGCTGATTACCAGTTAATAAAGTGCATGATATTAGCACCCGTTATCTACTTTGGTTGTTTTCCACACTGTCTCTGCATTTAGTAGGTCTGGGTTGGGATCGGTCAGGACCGGATGACTTTGTTTGACTGTGCTTTGTCATGGGTGACGCTTTATACAATAAAGACAAACTATGTTAACAACACAGTACACTTGCACAGGGCCCAAGGCCTTGATCTGACCTCCAGACCAAACATGAATATTTCAATTAGAAGTAGAAATTCCAAAAAATGTGGGCAAGTGTTTTTATTAAATAAAGAATAAATTACAAGAATAATACACCAATGTAAAAATAACTCCATATGACACAGGAAATTATGACTAAAATGTATCACAGCAACAAACGGCCATTAAATACACTGAAGTTATGGGAAATGGCGTAAGTGATGTGATGTGTGGTGGGTCATTGCTTTTGTTTAAGGGGTAAACATTGTAGTCATTGCAGTGTTTCATCTTATGATAAATCAGTTTGAATGCACACATTGCACATTCAAAACCAGTAAGTTGTTGTAAAGTTGCAGTGATAAGCAAAATAACTTGCTGTAAGCACACAGGCAGAATGGACACGGGCATGCAAGCACAAGTATAACAGAAAGAGATTGTTCTTTAACAGTGTCTCACAATTTCTGCTTTAACACCTGTAAATACACCAAAATCACAACTATTAATGTTTTTTCACACAGTTCATATAAACATAATAAAAAAACATGGTTTACTTTTTAAACTGAAAATTGAATTAATACTGAAATATTAATTGCATCTGTAGTTTTGGCATATTTGTTCTCCACTGCGGACTGTACATGGCAGAACAATATAAATGTAGAATTTCCTGATGACAACTTGGTAAACATGTTGACAACTCAAGTGTTTCACAATGGGGTCATATTAAAGTTTCATGTAAACCTGAAACAGATATGTTGGCTACCACTGGCATTAGTGGAGGGTATAAGTGCTGTAAAAATAATGGTAAAATTACTCCAAACGAAAAAAGGACTATGAGAAAAAAAACAACCTCAATGACTGAACACACCTGAGGCAAACACAAATTGGTCAAAGTGTCTCTGTGATTCCACTGCTTTAACGTTAATAGGTGCTTCCACCTAGTGGTGAGCGAGAGAAATTTAGATTCTACAAATGGCAACCACATCTAGATGCCTCTGATGTGTTCATGTGTATTTCGCGAGACATAAACCTACTTCTTAAGCAATATCTTTTCCTGTCACCTGCCAAAAAATTAAATAGTTTTTTCTAGAGTGCCTAGATGTTAAATAAATAAAAAAATCTTTCAAAACCATCAATATCTCCAAGAAAATTTAAATCTATAATCCGGTTAAAGAATATTTGAGATTAAATGAATTTAACCAAAAAGTCTATCGTCTTTAAAGTGGAAACACATGTTGCAAGATCTATCTGAATCTATAATGCTCAACCTAGATATGGAATATCGAAGATTTAATCCCTAGAGCAAAGTCCTCGGTGACTTTGATAAGATGTACAAAAGCAGTGTGGTGACAGGATTTCTCCTTTCCTTCTGAAACAACCCTGCGGAACTGTGTCTTTCTATAAATTCTTGACTCATCCTTGAGAAAGATTTTGAAAGTACAAATCCAAAAGTACTAATTCACCCGGTGGACTCAAATATATAACGTCAACAAGCTGCATTTCAGTGCTGTATCGCCATATAATACATTTCCTCTAAAATGAACCCTTATTCTGAGTTTGGGAATCGAATATATTGTCTTCTTGAGAAATGCCTGACAAACAAGATTCTAACACTTCTTTGGCCCTCCTGCCTGTAAAATGACTTCCAGCTGCTGTTTTAAGAAGTTTAAAAGGAGCCATTTTGAGTTAGCTTCAGAGCTCACAATAAATGACTAGTGCCAGAGTTTTAATGATAAAAAAAACATTTCTCTTTGTATAAAGTCCAAAGGGAGTTACTATGGAATACTAAAACTTCAAAACAAGCCTCTCACACAGCTGATAACGTGGCCCCCTCTGAGAGTATACTGGTACATGGGAAATTAATAGGCATTGGCAGTAGGTGTTATGTTTATTAAGTGATGGCACTAAGTCTCTGACTATATTTCTACAGAAAAATGTTAACATCTAAAACAAAGATGGATGAGAGATTGATATGTCTGACGGAGAAGGAGCTTGGTAAAGGATCGGGTGAAGCTTGAATATTTAAATGACACCAATTTATACAGGCTGAATTTTTTCCCATACATGCAGCGACGCTGAGGTGACAATGATTAAAACATTTTATATAGATTCATCCACAAGCTTCACTGCACTCTTCTCTCTATTCCTGACCCGTTCCTTTCCCTGCCTACAGGTTGCTTTCCTGGGTGTCATTGGACGCGATGGGGTGCAGACCTCCGTTCGCGTTCAGTCTCTTGGCACGGTACGTTTCGTAGTGAATGTTATGAGTGACCTCCTTCAGATCCTGCAGGTGAGACCTGTCGAAGACCATAAGAACCAGATTGACACACCATATGGAAACACTATCAGAATCTACTAGGGATTGATAGACTGGTGTTGGGGATTGTGGTTTCCTCTGGGTTTTTGGTCATTTCTTTCTTTTAGAATTTCACTTGTTTTGTTTTATTTTCCAATTGTATTGTGCTATTTTTGTTTTTTTTTCTTGATTGTTTGTTCTCATATATTTTCTTTTCCTGGTTTCTGTGTTTGCTCGCCATCTCAACCCTTATTTTCGACAGTAATTTTCCATTCAGGTCATTAATGCCACTCTTCTCCCTCCACCAGTCCTCTGCTGTATCTCGTCTCTCCTCTGGTCATCAGTTCTGTCTGTTGCTCACAGTTTTTCTTCTTCGTACTCCTCCATGCACACCCCAAACCGTGATAGTGAATGCAGTATAATGCTCGATGCAATATGGTTGTAAAATGTCTAAGGGCATTTTGTCCCTATTTTTCAGTTTCTATAATTGAAGGAATTAATCTGCGTACATTTGTTTAAAATCCAAAACTAACTCGATGCTGAGTTTGCATGCTCTCCCAATCAATGAGAGGATTCTCTTCGGATACATCCATAGTCCAAAGAGATGCAGGTGAGGGTGTTTGGCGACTCTAAATTGCCCTTGGGAGTGAATGTGTGTGTGTGTGTGTGGTTGTTTGTTTCTAGGGTTAGGATTTTCCATTTTTTCAATTGACCTCTTTATTCCATTTCATTGCAAAGTTTCATGAATGTCTATTTAAAAAAGGTTAGCTCACCTGATCAGGAAATCTCTTAGTTGAGCAAACTCACAATGGTTTGGGTTTTCAACTAGAGCAAACAAGAAAGTAAAAAGAAAAAAACAACAACACACAATCAAAAGATCGATTTAAACTCTGCAGCAAAGCCGTTGAGATTAATTTAATCTCACAACTAAAAACACTCACCCTCTACGATTCCCCACGGCGTCTTCCTCCCCAGAACCCGTTTTCCGTTCACTTGGTATTCTTTATCGCTCCCTACCACGGCAAAGGGCATCGTTTCCTGGGGAACGAGACATTAAACATAGTTTAATGGAAAAAAAAAAGTCGCTCAAGTTTCATAAGATTAAAAGTCAACACTATGCCCAAAAGCCCTGACATTCCTCCAAGTAGAGGGGCCGATGGCTGTGTGGGCTGGAAGGACAGATGTGAGAGACCAACACCACTCACTCTGATCTTGTCATTGTCACTTTTGTCCTCCATATCGTCATCAAACTCTTTCTGGGGGTAAAACTCAATTCCGTTCATCTCCAGCTCCTTTCTTACCTAGAGCAAAAAAGGAAAGGCATTCAAATAAAGAAAAAAAAACACCCGTCCACACAGTGCTTGTAGATAACCGACTGCGATGTCTCACTGTGTTGCTGTGTTTACCGTGTTTGATACGGGAACTCACCCGCTGTTTGAACTCTAGCCTCTCCTCAATGGTCATCGTGTCGGCCTTAGCAATAACAGGAATGATGTTGACCGAGTGGCACAGGCGCTTCATGAACTCGACGTCCAGCAGCCGAAGACTGAAGCAGACGGGCAAAAGGGAAAGAGCGAGTCAGTATGAAATGACGACGAAGACGTTGGCGAGCTTTTCTTAAGTTTCTACCTCACTTACAAAAGATTTAAAGGGCGAGTGATCTTTAAAGGAAAAAAAGGTCAGGTTTAAACGTTTATTTGCAGCACACATAGCATCCCGTCTGTCTCATTTACCCTGAAAAAGGTTGACTCACTGCTAGGAATACAAAAGCTGTGGGTGCCTTGAGGGGACCGAGGAGTTGTATGCACTATGAAGTAAAGGCCTTTTTTAAATGTGAAAAGTGTTTGGATTAGAGGTTTTCTTTTTTCTCCATCGACTCTTCCTGTAAAGGACAGGGATTTTTTTTAAATTTAAACTCTGCTTATCTCTAGTTCTGCCAAAATTTCACTCACGAGTGTCCAGTCGGGGAAATGAAATACAGACAGCAGTGCACTCTGGTGTCAGGAATGCGCCTCTTCCTGGTGATGTTGACCTCTTCCTTCAGGAACTTCTCAAACTGCTCATTGATGTGCTTGGAAATGGGCTCCCAGCTGCGTCCGTAGCAGAGCAGGTAGGTTTGAGAACAGACAAAAAAACAAACAACAAAAAGACAGCATTGTAACTTAGCATTGAAGCTATAGCAGCCACAGTACTGTATACTGATGAAAATACAGTGTTTGAAAAAAAAAAAAACTGAAAAACCTTGTCTTAAGGCTTTTGAGACAAGCTTTAAGAGCTTTAGTGTTTTTGCTGTCTTTGCTGGATTCCACCCCACTTTTTGGAAGATACTACTTTAAGATGTAGGTGGTGTTTTCACTATTCCATTTTTTTGTCCTTCACTTAATGACTATACTCTTTTTCTTAAGAGACATTGTACACCATGCTAATGTATGCAGCTAATTAGACATAGAAAAAAAAGAGACTTTTTAAAATCGGTTATTTTCTGAGGTGTCTGTCAAACACAATGCATCTTGGTACCTTGCATTAGATGTGTTTTAGATGCTTAAATGATTCACGGATCAGAGTTAAGCGGTTTAACAAGCAAACACATTCCTCTGGAAACAATCCGGTTAGAGTGCATTGGATGAATGAGCGAAGAAGCAGCTATGGCTAAAAAAAGCTCAATGCACAGGAATGAGGGACTCTTTGAGATTTCTGCGCAGTGGAACCACACCACTCCTGAACAAAAGACTGCTCCTGGCAAGTTAGGGTAGTTTCATGAGGTTTTAAGCATTCTAGACCTAGGAAACCCACCAGTTGTCATTATTGATTTGGTCTCCAAAGCCTGGCGTGTCCACAACCGTCAGCTTCATCTTCACGCCGCCCTCCTCAATCACTACCGAAAGAAAAGAAAAAATCCACACGCCACATTGAACATGTCATTTTAGGATTCTTTTGAATCAAAAGAAAACAAAAGTGAAAGATGAAACAAAAACAAGCTGACCACACATAAATAAAAGTCTCCTTCTCTTTTCAAGGCAGTTCAAAAACTCCCTAAAGCTGTCCTGTTTTGGCTGTAAAGTTTTAAACTAACACACTCATTGATTCAAAGTGACATTCTCTGACATGTTCCACCGTTTAGGCCAATTCAGCCACTTGCCCAGCGTCTCAGAAGAATGATGGCAGCTGTGATCAACCACCCATAATGACAGGGTATGAACCCTGTGGCATGTTTGCTATTTGGGATCTATCCCTTGGCAGTGCTGAAGAAAAAATGTCCAAACCAGACCAGCTGTGGAGCTCAGGAGCTTCTGAACCTGGCAAGGGATGTAAAACACATCAAAGAATCCTTTGAATGAAATATTCAACGTTTTTGGTGCAGACCAAAGCTGAACGGGGGTGGAGGTGTGATGGCTGGGAGTATTTTCCCGATTTAATTCCTGCAATATATCAACTGCTGCTCGTCACCAATGTAAGTGCATTTCTACCAAATTTAAACCAGAAGCAGGCAGTACAACTGGATGATCATCCTTGGCTATAAAAAAAATCCCAGAGCAGGGACATAAAATGGTCAACACCTGGATTTTTTGGTTAAAACTGGAATGAGCTACTTTCTTCTTCAGATTTTTCATTTGAAAGTCTGAAAAACACCTGATTCCATCAATTTTCGTAATCGCTTATTCCCTAACTGGGTTGCGGGGGTACTGGAGCCTAACCCAGTAGTCAATGAGCGAGAGGCAGGGTACACCCTGGACAGTCCGTTGGTCCATCGCAGGGCCACACAGAGACACACAGGGACAAACAACCACTCACACTCACTCCTAAGGGTAATTTGTAATGTCCAATCAACCTGACATGCAGGTTTTTTGGACGGTGGGAGGAAGCTGGAGAACCCGGAGAGAACCCCCTCTGACACAGTGAGAAAATAAAAAAATCCACACAGAAAGGTCCTTGTTCCCCCCAGGGACAAACCCAGAACCCTCTTGCTGTGAGACAATGGTGCTAACTACCACACCACCGCCTGAGATGAGATTTTTTTAAATGATTTTTAAAAATTTCTAAACAAACTATTTTCTCGATGGTTGCAAGTACAGTTTATATCCTTTAACTAGGCTTGTTTATTCATAAATGATTGAAAATTTAGTTGTTCAACAGGTATTAAAACTTGCAAATGTTTTAACTAGGGTTTCATTTTATGCCTACTTGTGAGGTTGCTCCGCTTCTCAGTCTCTCTGAAGCTATTCTGATTTTAAAAGAGCATAATGATGTCGGGTCACTGCCAGCCGCAGGCCTTGTGTGTATGATCGTGTAAACTCTAGCCACAAAGCGCTGTGCTCAGTAGGAGGATTTTGCATATCCTCCTGTTTCTGGGGCCGGGACGTCACCATAAATGCCTGCTGTGAGGAACAACAGTCCAGTGCGCCACACGCCGAGTCTACTCAGCTGGATGGACACTGTAGCAGTCATCCGGGGGACCGAAGTCAGACATTTTCAAAGACCAAACAGAAAAGCATTGAACAATCCTACTCTGCACTTCACAGCGCTTGCTGCTTAGCACCATTTATCTCAACAGAAAGCTTTTAAAATCAAACGCAGTGGAGACGACACAAGATAAAAGTCCCCGATTCCTCGCTCCACAACTCTGTGCAAAGACCACAAGTTGAACTTCATCTACCTCTTTGTGTCACTCTTCTTTTTAAGCAGGATGGCTGATTGTTACCATGGGAACATCTCTCTCCCTTCTAAAAATTGTCTGCTGTCATGGCAGTGAATATTTTCAGGTTCACATCAGGTCACAGTCGTGTACGTCAGTCTCACATATATGAAATTCGACTTATTTTAGTTGCTTTTTCATAGCTGTTTCATTCAGAAATTACCAGGCAGACAAACACTGCAAAGCAAAGCCATATGAAATATTGGATTTTAGCAGCCTAGGATTGTTTCTTTAGTTCCCTTTTTAATGCACTAAATGTTGTCAGCGCTTCTCATATTTGATCAGATGTGCTGGAGATGATGAAATCCACATGTAAGCTGCAAGTTTTCCACTTTATTCTTTAGTTGTGAAGACTGTCTTCGCATAGACCTTTTAAAGTGGTGGCCCATCCCATTCTTTCTAGCCCTCTCCGAGATGCTCTTTTTATATCTCAGAATGTTGCTGACCTACTGCCAATTAACCTTATTAGCTAAGAGATGTTCCAACATTTTTTGTATCTTTTTTTTCCCTTCTTTTTTTGGCAAGACTTCAAATCCCTACCGTTGTACTGTGAGCTCAAATGTATTTGGGGGCAGGATTGTATCAGAGAATCAAGAGAAAACGTATGTTTTTTGGTAAAAGAACATGAGTTTCCGCCTATTTTCGTGCTGAAACGTTTCAGGGCCTGCGTGACTGACTCATTCCACTCTGTCATTCTCTTCCTCCGGGTCGGCCTTTCATTTTTTTAAAGCTCTGTATCACTCAGCGGTTGCTGAATGGAAGCTTTATTATAGGACTTTCCCTTGTTTGCAGTTTGACCAGTTTTTACTGAATCTTCCTTTCGGGCAGATGTCTTGTTGGAGGTCATAGGTCCAGCTTGTCAAAGCTGCTAAAACCCCTCTTTTCTCTGTCCAGGCACCCAGGGATTCGCTGTCAGTTCATTCACCCAGGATTGCACAGACTAAAACTGGCTGTTGCCTATAAGGGCTACTTTCCACCCACTGACATCCATTTGTCAGCCAATTTTCTATCGTTTAACCGGGACCACCATGCAGGAGCAGAAGTCTGAACTGAGCTCTCCAGACCCCTAAACTGCTCCCCCCTGAAGGATACTGACATGTTCTCAAGCTCACTGACGGTCTTATCTCTTTAGTGATTCCTGGGTCTGCCCTGAGGCCGCCAGCTGGTAGAACATATCCAAAAAACACCTCTCCTGGGAAGCATCAAGTGGACATCTGAACCGTATTCCTGACCACCACAACTGGCTTTCTTTATGCGGAGGAGCAGCCTTTCATCTCTGATCCTCATCATGTCTCTAAGGATGAGGGCCAAACATGCTTCGGAAGCAGCTCATTACCATCGCTTGTATTCATGGCCTCATTCTTTCAGTCACTACCAACAGCTCATGGCTGCGTATGAAGGCACTAATGTACATGTACCAGAAAATCAGCTTTGCCTTTTGGGGTCAACTCTATCTTCACTACAGCAGAGAAAAGTTGTTAAATCTGCTTGTCAATCTCCTGCTTTGTTGGCTTCCAACAATGGGCTAAGACTCTGAAAGACTTAAACTCTGTGACTTCTTATCTACCGACTCCCAAAAGAGTAAAATCCACATTTAGAATTATGTCCTGAGACTTTCAGGTGCCAGTTCTTATCCAAGCTGTTTCGCCGAAACATGAATGGTGGCTTTAGTCTTACATATTAACACCCTTAGCAGTTTCATAATGTAAGTCTTAAAAACAGTGTTACTATTAGAAAGTCTGACACTTTCCTCTTATTGCAATAATAAAGTATCAGTGTGTCATTTAATTGGATATATAGATGTTATATATACATGCTGATTTATCTACATCATGGAATATTAAATTACCCAGAGTAGCTTGACATCAGTGATCATAGTGAACGGAGGGTCCAAGTACACAATCAAAGTGCCTGTGGCAGAGGCAGGGGCTGGCATCTGCATTTGTATCTCAGCTGGGGATCTAAAGCGATCTCTTTTGGCAGCAATGGGGACTAGGGATTTCCCGATCCAGCTTTTTTCACTTCCTATCCGGTACCGATATTGTATTTGCACTTCCGATCCGATACCGATACCGATGCCGGCCTATCAGAGCATGTATTAAAGTTATTTAGCCTACTTACTTAGTTGTCAGACTCGTATTGACCAGGGATTAACTCTTATAACAACCTAATGGTTAGAACACAGACTTGTGGGTTAGGAGCTGCAAATGCTCGTGTGGGATCGGACTTTTAAAATAAACTGGATCGGCAGTCTGGATCGGTATTTTCTCATGCCGGCCGATACGCAGTTTTTTGAGAATATCGGCGGCCGATCCGATCCAGATATCCGATCGGGACAACCCTAATAGGGACCTTAGTGGTTATGGTCAAGAGACTGTTCGTTTTCTTTGTCAAATTAAAGCTAATTCAAACGGCTAGTTCTATAGACAGGACAGAACAGATGGGATACGCTTCCCATTACCTACCATGAGACACTGTCTTGATCTCCACGGTTTTGGGGATCTTCTCATCTCTCCCCCATCCTGCGCTCTTCCTGCTCACCTGCGACTTGAATAGGGTGTTGACCAGAGTCGACTTTCCGAGGCCACTGTGACCTGAGAGGGGTGAAACGGGGGTGAGACAGGAAGAAAAAGTCGAAGAGGGAGTGAGGTCGGAGAAAAACTAAGCAAGGAAGGATCCGGGTATGAGGGATGTCCGCTCTGCCTTACCAACTACCATGATGTTGAAGTCAAAGCCTGTCTTCATGGTCTTCTTTCTCATCTGCTCAATGATGGTGTCAATGCCAATGTAACCTAGTAGAGTGGATCCTCCACTGGTGCTGTGGGAACCTCCGTGGGAAACTCCGTGAGGACCTCCGTGGGTACCTCCGTGGCTGTGACCTCCGCTGTGCGCCGCAACGTGGCTCCCAGTGTGGCCGGGAGCATGCCCCACACTGTGACCCACAATGTGATTGCCCCCGTGTCCAGAACCATGACTTCCGATGGGAACTGGAATGGCGCTTGGAGGTAGAGCAGAAATGCCACCTCCTCCAATACCTGGCCCCTGGGGCGGGAAAGGGTTAGAAGGAGAGGGAGCCCCCACGTTTGGGGGCTTTGCTGGGACAGCTGGTTTGGGTCTAACTTCTGGTGGAACGATGTCTGACATGTCTATAGGGGGGGGAAAGAGAGAGGGAAGACAATAATGTAGGTCAGTGGATGAGGTGAGGCCTCTGGTCCCTTTACCTGATCTACATTTAGGAAATAGGTTGTTGCAGCAGGCTCATATGGTCGGCCCTAATGTGCAAACAACCAAGGTTTTCAAAAATGTTTCTCTTTACCAAAATCTTAAGTAGCCATTGTTTCATAAAGATCTTTAAAATATAAAACTGAAGGTCTGCAGATATCATAAGGTCAGTGGTACATTAGATGAAACACAATAAAGTATGTTTTCTTGTTGGTGGCTGTTTTGTGTCCTCTGTCATTTAAAATAATTGAAGTATTCTTAAGCTCGGGATCAGTGGAGTAAAACGTGTTTAGGATTGGCTTGATTTTGAAAAAAAACACCAGCTGAGAAGCCGCGGAAATTAATGCCTGAGAAAAATTGTGTCATCATGACACCAGCAGGGTTATATTCCGCAGGCTAACATTGCTGTTTTTTGAGAATTACATCTGCTCTGCGAGAGCTTTCAAATAATAGGGTTAAATTATATGACTCACCAGCTGTTTTTGGACTGAGCTAGCGAAGGACTGATGCCGTTTTCCCAGTAAATACACTTCCAGAAATGAGAATAAGTCACAAAGAAGAGCCCAACTTTCCTCTGATTGTCCACTGTTTTTGTTTTTTTAAATGTTTTTCCATTAGGTTTAAAACTACTTCTTCGACTGAATTACAACCACTACAATTGTAGATGTACTTTCATGCTCTGGTAGCATAATCTTGAGTAGGTAGGTCACCAAAAACTAATTAAAAGGAATATTTCAAATTCTCGGTCACATTCTTTATTGGGGGCTTTTCAAAGATCCTATCAGATTACTTTTGCTTAGTAAAGGGAACCCAGCTTTTGTCAAGTTTCCAACAACACTATGGATAAAATGCATTTGGGATTTAGCTGTGCTTCAAATATTAATAAGATGTTTGGTGGGTGTACAAACATTGTACATCCATATATGTAATACATATCGTAAAAGACTATTAAAAAGGATTTAATTTGACATATTTTTCTTTAAAGTCTTCAGAATGACAGCATCAGGCATCAAAAAGAATACCATTCTTACAATTTCTACCATTTCTGTAATAGTAATGTCCCTTTGCTGCATCGCTAACTGTAAGTGTATTTCCATTTAACTATAAAAGTGTATGAGCTGCAGCTTTTATGTAATCACATAAGCACCGGTTATTTTGGCTTACCACAATCACCTTGGAATATCACTGGAACTGACCCTTTTATGTAAATAAAACAGCTTAATGACACCAAGGAAAAGACCATATTTCTATCAAAATTTCAACATCTCTTGCAATTATTGGTGGTACCTTATTCTGGAATGAATCAATCCCACTAATTTATGATAGACGCTGAGCTTGTAATATCACACTAACTGCATCTATGGGCATTAATATCATGGATCAGTTAGCAAAGTATTGCTGTGAGCCCACTTTGGTTTTTAGACTAATATCAATAGATAGGACATTTACTTGGAGGAGGGGATTTGGTCATTCAATCAGACGCCCTTCTACCACAAATCTTAACTCACTATTGCATAAAACTATGAATAAATCAGAATAAAAAACTGTGGTAGATACCTTCAGAGGTCATGATCATTGGGTTAGGGTGTTGAGTTGCTTACACATTGTGTGTTTTAAAAAAAATCTTAAATGAAGAAGAGTTGAAGAGAAGACTTCAAGATTGTCATGAAAGTGTAAGTTCACTGGAAGATTAAATTAACCAGCCTAGGCCCCTAATCAGGGCTTAAAAGGATAACAAGATAATATATTTGATTTACATTTGAACTACCTTGATCATTTTTTTATGGTCTACATCTTAAATGTCCCCCGCCCTCTCAACTCATCTGGCTTTTAAAGTATTATATTTTGCAGTTTTTAGGTTTCTGAAAACTGGGTGGATTTCTCAACCAGGTTAACAACTTCCCTGTTGCCATGGTTATGGATCATAACAGGTGTAAAAAGAAAATTGCCAGTTACCAGCAGAAGTCCTTCTGGCTCACAAAAAAATGTTTTAGATACTTTTTTTGTTGTTCCAAAATCGATCCAAATACATACACAGCATGTTCAGAACCACTGCGGGTAGGCAGGCCACCCGTTTGCCCCATTCAACTGAGACATTCTGACAAGTCAATTGTAAGTCTTTAAGACTTAATAAACATTTGGCACTTACTGTGAACATAAAGAAACTAAATTAATTACAAAAAACCTCTGCAGAAAGCCCACCGTTTGTTATATCATTGCTAATCAGCATTCATTTAGAGCCCAATTGCCTTATCTCAGAATCTGAGAGGAAACTCAGAGTAAGCCTTGTGGTTGTGACACTGCTTTTTGCCAAAAGATGCTTAGTGAAATGAGCCTTTTACGTGAAGCCAGCAGATGGTTTCTTCAAAAGGCAGGAGGCCGGGCCAAGACGCAGCCGCTCCGAGCCCTCCAGTGCCAGTGCATATGGAGGGGCCTGCTGCTGTGTTTTCAGTGAGTTGTGGATTCACTCCGGATCACACAGGTCACTGAGGCAGCGGTTGTCACATTGGCTTACTGCAATGAGCGCTCATCCCAACCCTGCCCGGCCTCTCCCTCCCCTCCTGCCCTCGCACATTCACGTTCGCAGCTCAAAAATCCACGGTCAAGTTATTATAGTGCGTGATATTTGTGACGTGATATCTAAAATGTGTCATTTAAAAAAAAAAAAAAAAGTGGTCTCTGGGCAGTTTAACGCAAGGAGCGACGGCTTACAACGGTAGGAGAGACGCTGACTATTTAAATAAAAACTAAAGAATAGCAGTTAGAACATTACACCGGGTCAGCCTACCACCCTTTTGTCTGACTCCAGTCATGCTGGATGATAACGTTTGCGGTTAGCATCAGCTCTGTTAGCTAGCTGCTAAACGCAGCCCGCTAACGGCCGGCCCGGGAGTGGCACACTTACCGATTCCCGGTCAGTTTATCAAAAACGAGGAGAAAGCAGCCTTTTGCCACTGCCCTGTGGTCACTTCGGATCCAGAAACAAATATAATTATCCACACTGAGAAAACGGTGAAACCAACGGTCATGTGATGAGCCTGGATACCTCTCCTTCTCTCTGGGCGAGAGCCTCCCCCTCCCTCCTTCTTGTCTGTTGCCAAGACGACAAGAGGAGAGGGAGTGGGGAGATGCAGAGCACATGCGCAGTGTGACTTTACCTCAAAGGGACGTTTTTTGGTGTATGGGGTTCGCTGTCAGTAATGCACACTATTTATAGGTTTGCACAGGAGAGTAATAAGATTTTCTTTTTTAATGAGCCACCCTAAATGGGAATCTCATTTGCTGAGAACAGTGAGGAGAACCTGCTATTTTAAGCTTAACATAAATGCTTTACTTGTGGCGAGAATGTAGCTTTTTCCTTTGTCTCGATTGCGTCAAGACATAAATATTTCCTTGTATTTATATTCCTTATTTTGTGACTTTGTGAAAGAAATCAGCATCGTTAAAAAAAACCCATTATACTGGGCTTAATCTTAACTATTTCAAAACCCAGACCACCTCCATGTGGACTGTTGGCTTTCCTGTTGACAGCAAATTGCTAATATTTGAAGGTATCGTCCTTAGGAAAATTAATTTTACTTTATAAAATCTAAATTTTGGTAAGAAACAAAAAGTAAAAATCCAAAGTCAGATTGCTTTAAAAAAATAAATAAAAGCAACGTTAACTGCGACTGAACACCTAACTTGGTTATTAGCATATAAGCTTTGCACTTCTTCACTTAAGCAACCCAGTCTGTAAATGCCCATTTTATGAGCCAAACTATCAGTTAAATAAAGTCCCTGGAATTGAAACATTTCAAAGGGAACTCACTAAAATTTGAGCGTAGTTAGGGTATTTTAAAAGGATTCTTTAAAATCTAAAATGTTCTCATTTCAAACTGCTCAATGGCGACCGGCCCAGTACGTCATTTGTATGCGACAACAAGCGGGGGACGAAAGCAGCGTAACGGCCTAATATTGGAGTTGGACTGCAGACTAGGCATTTAAAACTAGGCATTTAGAACGTTGATATGATACGTTGATACTTTTGTGATTTAATCAAAAAAATTATTTAACAGGGACGTTTGCTGTTGCGTGTTTTGAGATAGAAGGACTCGCTTCATTGACTCATTGAGTGATGTGACCAATCATAAGCGGGTCTGCCGTCGGCCCTAAACAGCCTCACAGAGATTTTTTTGTAATTAAGTCTTTATTTGGCATTTTATATATGAAAACATGTTTGAATATATATATGATTGTGCTCAACAAGGTTTTGAGCAAAGATTTTACCATTAAATGATGCAAAACCTCTCAGATGCAAACCATTTCAGAAACCATATGTATCTTATCTGATATGGTATTATTGAGTTAACTGTCAGGAGGGGCCAGACCCTAATCAAAATGGGAGAAAGAAAAACGAGTGCAGTTGAGCCATGCTGAGTCGACACCAGTGAAAAAAATTCAAGACCACACATAAAGATCAAAGGAGTGATCATAAATTATTATTAACCACTCCAATCCAAAAGAATTATATGGATATAAAAATACTTGAATAATAATTTGTTCTCAATTGGTAAAAAAGATAAGCATTCAAGAACTTGAGAACACAAAATATGATATATATAAATTTAACCCAATACAAAATGATCTCACAGAACATATCTGATCGGTCAGACCGGTCATGACATCACCCATTGTAGTCCGGCACTTGTGGATAAATCGGTTCCATTTTAAGGGGCAAACAAAAAAATTAGGTTCCTTTGCTCTTTAAGGTAGTTCCCACTTTCAGAACAATACCCAGTGAAAATAAACCAGGAAATACTAGTTTGTGATCCTCCCTGTGTGATAGTATGGTAGCCTGGCCAGGGTACTCTGTGCCACTTGTCCTATGACAGGCCGCTTTATCCCAACTATACTGGAAATAAGTGGCACAGAATGTGGACGGATCCATGACCTTCCTGCTTTTATGATCATAACACATCTTCATCACATCTTCTTTGTACTGTAAGTAATGTAATACTATGCCATGTGATCAATACACTCTGAAAACCTGTTGAAGACCAACATTATAGGAACTAAAAATTGCAATCATCTGCATACATCAAGTGTGTTACTATGGTCCCACAAGTAACACAATATGCTGTCTCCCATCCAGCTGCTTGAAAAATATTTCTTGTAAAAATAAAAAATAAATTAAAATAAATTAAAAAACAAATGGTACCTGTGACAGATCATTCCACAGAGCTTATAGCTCAACATAACTGAAACAGCTCTGGATATACTAACAGAGAACTAAACACAAAAGCCAGTCATTGTCCAAAAAGAGCATGGGGATATCTTTAAAAAAAATAGGAGAACTTCTGTTTTGCTTCATATTCCTTCTTTCCATGACAGTTTGTATATGTTTCAATACACCGCTGTTTTAGTGGGTAAAGTAGCAGATCTAACAGCATCCATTATTGTTAGACGATTTATCAAATGTCTTTATTTGAAAATAGTTGCATTACTCTTGTCATAATTGGACTTGATTGCAAAGCCTTATGCCTTATCTTATGCTACGCAGTATCATGTCATATCACAGTCAAAAATAATTTGGAATTTTAGACTCCTCACGCTACACCAGAAGAAAAAAGACAGACAAAAATAAAAACAATCTGGTTTGCTCATGTGTTTTTCCCATCCATGCTGGGAAGAAGACATAAAGTTATGAATTTTCTCAACAACACTCTATGAATTCAACTCCCTGTCATTGTACAACAGAGAAAAAAAATCAGCCACATACATATTTCCTTATCATTTTCTTTTAAATCATTAGATACTTTTTAGTCTGAACCAGCAGCTGCTCTCTTCCATAGCAACAGAGCCACCCCCATGACAACAAAAACAGATGACAAACAGATGTAGCTGAGGAAAGCTCTGGACAAAGTTGGCCGATGGTCCTGGATTTGTGTTTGTATTGTCAGACGAAAATATTCAGCATTGCCCCCTTTCTGCTCCTGTGAAAGCCCCTCAAATAAACCCAGCTGAATACATTAAAAAAACAGCTTTTGCCATGGGGCCACAAACCTATATTGCTTCACTCATGAGACCATAGTGGCTCTAAGCATGCAAAGGAGACGCAGACGCCTTATTTTTACTTTTTAAAGCTCGATCCTTTGCTACTAAGCAACAAAACCAAAGATTATTGCGCAGTATTTAAAAGGTTTCCCTCAGGTGTAAGAGGCAGTTCTCTCTCTGCAGTACGGTACTCACACTTTTACTTCAGAGTGGCTCTCCTCTTGTTCCTCCTTCGCCTTCCTCCCTGAGTTTTTTTGCCTGGTTTGTGTGCCTCTGCAGAAAAAAAACTGCTTTGGCGTGTCTTCCTGTCCTGTTCCCTTTTACACTCAGCTAACCACCACCGTCACTTCTCCCTCTGCAGTGCATCTGTTACTCCGCTGATAAGGAGCTGTGTCCCCTATCCCCCCCGCTATCCTCTTTTATCACCCCCTCGTCTGAGCCCCCACTCCCATAGACAGAGAGTTATTGAACTCCTACTAAGTATATAAACTTGACTTGGGAGATTGAGCGTTGAGTTTGAGTTAGTCAAAGAGTTTAGTTTCTTTGTACTCACCCACATACACTGAACCTGGGTAGTACATGGTGACATAATAGGGATCCTCCGAATCCTCCGTAATAAACGCTCTATCTGTGACAGAGTACCTAAGCTGATGCATTTGAGCAGAAGTTGCTGAATCTGGCCTCTGGTATATTCTGTCCTGTGGCAAATCGAATACCCTCTTTGAGCCGCTGCCAAAGCTGTTTGTGTCGAACAGGCCGGGTGCCACGGATGGGCGCCCGGGATGTTCCAGCAATTGTTTTGGCACCACGTGGTGGTCAGGTGGTCCTGAAACATCAGTGTGATTCAGACTTTTCCCCCTGGCGTCGCGCTCCGGGTGGCTGTTGTGTTGCTCTGGGGTGTTTTCTTGATTTGAACGACACCGATGAGGCTGTAGGTCAGGCTTTAATACGGCTCCCCTGGACGTTGGATGGGAGGCCTCACGGGTCTGAGATGCCAACAGACGTGTCTTAAGTCTATTTAATCCGTGTGCGCACTGAGCGTCTTCCGATTGCAGATCGATTACCCTTGACTGGCAGCTGTAATCCTTTGACACACAGGGAGGCCGGATTACCGAACACTTTCCATCCATCTGGGCAGTGAGATCCCGGCTTTCCGATGAGAATCTGCCTTTATGAAGAGCCTCGATGCTTTGAGACTCACCAACTTGTTGAAAAGGCTCAGGCGAGTTCCCTAAAGACGTCTTTCTTTCGTTTACGTCCCACGGCCTTCTGTGGATAGGCCTTGATGGAACCGCCGGTGTTTCATTAAGCAGATCAAGCTGTTTTCCCCTCGTTTCACTGTTGGCTGAGAAGAGACTTAAAGGAGGCCCTGCTGACTTTTTGAGAGCCGTGCTTTTCCCAGAGTACATTTCTTCACGTGATTGGTGACTGGAGATAAAATCTGAGCTTTGGGGATAACTGCTCTCCTGCCTAGCCAGTCCATAAAACCCTGGCTGTGAGCCTCTGTAAACGACTTCAGAGCACTCTGCTGAATCGCTTGATTGACATTTTCGCTGCTGTTTGATGTTTGATTTAGGCATTGCGGCATTGTCTGAATTCACAGTCGGTGTCTGTGGTTTATTTTTGGCAGTGTCTTCATTTTCGTTTGTTTCAACTTGATTTAGCAGTAATCTGGGATTGTGAGGTGCGTGGGTTTGATGTCGGGACTCTCTGCTCATCGCGGGACGAGCTCTTCTCGCCCCGGGACGAGTGAAGTCCAGCAAGGCTCCCTGGTCGAGAACTTCATGTTTCGCCACCCCTAAAGGCTCCACTTTGGTATTCGAGATGGGGATACATCGGGCGCGTCTCTCTCTGGCGACGGGAGAAGGCTGGCGGCCTCCTGGCCCGTCCGAGTTTTGGGAGGTCGGGGACGGACTGAGTCTGGGTGTCGGGACGGTCAGCGTCGGGGACACGCTGGGCTTTGGCTCGGGCCGGTGCAGTATTGGGGAAAAATCCATCGACCGCGAGGCTGGGAGATGAAGAGAACTGCTTGGCTTTGATTTGAGAAGGGGGGGAGTGGGAGGGGAATTTGGCTCTGGTGCAGGAGAGATAGCGATGCTGGGCTTTGCAGAGAGGGACTGAGAGCTGTGTGCTTTGGGTTTTACCCTTGGAAGGGTTGAAGCCCTCTCTCCGCTGTCTCTCTGCCGACATGCTTTACTCCATGAGCTCGGGACAGACGTCTTGGCGAAAACCGAATCACATGATCTAGGAGGAAAATGCGTGAACTGTCAAATCACCACTGTGTAGCAGATTCAATTTTGACAGCGAAAGAGCAGCGCATTAACTTACCTCTCGGCTGTTGACAGTTTTGCGTTATGCCTCTCAAAGATGAGCCCCCTCTCATCAAAAGATGGAATCTGAATTGTCTTCTTCTTGACCACAGGGGAAGACAGAGCCAAAGGACGCGACAGACAGACTTTTGGATGTTCATTCGTGTGCCTGCAGGGATCAGTTCCCTCTGACATGAAAGGTGCCAGACGATGAAAAAGACTCATTCTGTATCAAAGAAGCCGGGAAGAAAGAGATGAAGAATGCTGGAGAATTCAAAAAAAGGGAGGCAAAGAGAGTTTCATTTCAGTAAAATGTTTCAACTGATATAATCTGGGAATCCGTGGAAGATGTTCCCATATCAGTACCAGTGTCAGTACAATTAAATAATCTTGCCTAAACAACATCTTGATTTTGTATCACACTTTAGTCAAAGCATAGCAGGGGAGAATAGATCAATACTTATCGTAACAAAATAGACCCCAAATGACTGTTATATATATATACATAAAAAATCAATAGCTTCAAAGTTAGTTGAAGCTGTCTGAAACTGTACAAGCTTTCTTCTAATTGTGGAAACAATCTCAGTCAAACTTTCAAGTCTTCAAGCTGTCAGGTAGCAGTGATAACCCCCCCATACTACAGACCAAAACCTTGTATCTCTTATTCATTACAACCTTTACTTTACACCTTTACTCTTAAACACAGCCATATTATCTATGGCTGTGTTTAAGAGTAAAGGTGTAAAGTAAAGGTTGTGTTATATGTCATTTTAAGTCTTAAAGCACAGTTCTCCAGGCTTCATGGAGGACTGGCTTTTGTTCCATCTTCTCTCAACACAGTCCCACACTACTTCAGTAAGGGCTGGGCTCTGGGGATAAGCCAACCCTTCATAAGACCTTTTTCCATTTATTTTCAATCCAATTGTCATGTCATTTGGTATACCTTAGCCTTTCCACTTTTCTCCCTCCACAAGGAAACATTTCTTGACAGCCACCTTTCTTTAGTGCCTGATGAGACTCAGAAAAAAGCACATGGATAAACCCCTTTGACAGGTCTTTGTTGGATAGTTTTCCTATTTCTTATAATACCTGATGTTTTTGTTTCTGTTTTGTCACAAGTTTTTTCCGCCATCAAAATATAAAGCAGAACAATTATATGACTACATTCATAGTGGAAATGGTCAATAAAACATACCAAATGAATGCATTTATTTGCAGTCTGAAACAAAGTTCGATCCATCTGTCTACCGACCGTCTTCCGGTTAACTGAGGTCAGATTTTAGAGGCAACAGGTTGACAAAAGAAACCTAGATATTTCCACTTTGAAATAGAAAAAAAACTTTTTTTGTTCAAGTTGAGTTAAAAAGGACCAACCTGGAACTCGACGCTTCGTCTCTGCTGCTGTCAGGCTGCACGAGTAAACAAGACGGCGAGGAGAGCAGTAGGAAGCGGTGGGCACGCCAAGTGCCATTCTCTCCATTCCTCTGCACTGAGCCTTTTCTGTTTCACTCCCACTCGCGTGTCCCGTTTGATTTGGTTCATGGGGAAGACTGTGAAGTCTGAGTGTGGTCTGTGCGGCCCGTCTGATCGCATAGCAGACTTGCATTCAGAATCCTACTCAAGTCAAACAACAAAGGCGGCGGCAAGAAGTTCTTTTAAGACTGAGCAGGATGCCTTTTTGTTGCATTCAAATAACATTTTAATTGCCGTAGTTTTTTTCAAGTGTAGCTGCTGTTGTCATGCTCTGAATTTATGTGTTGACCTTTTATGCAGTTTCTTGGTTAACTTTTGAACTTTTTTGCTCTGCTCCTCCTGTTATTAGGTTTTGTTGCCCCATACACTCCAGTTATTATGCCACCTATTGCTCATTTCTCTTATCATTCCTTCAGTGTAGATTGTGTTTTGTTTGGTTCCCTTGCTCATTCTTTCAGTCCGTAGTTCTGCATGTCCTGCTCCAGAAGTGCTTCACCGTAGTTTAATTTTAATAAAGCAGATGTTCATCCCTGTTGCAAACCCTCTAACCCCTTCATCCTTCATTTGTCATAACCCTAACCCTCCCATATCCTCAATGGCCTTTAGCCAATCATTGTCCTTTTCAACCAAGTAGTTCCCAACAAGGCAGGGACCCTTTGTACTGTAACGGGCTCCGTTCAATGGCATATTATCAGCATAGTGTCATGAGAAAACTACATAATCTAAAATCTTGTATCTTCAAATTGTAGGTGGGCAGGGTGCATGTGAAATGTCAAGCCACATCCAAGCTTTGACTGTACTGCCTTGATTGCACCAGGAATTGTTTTTTAGTAAAGTGCTGTTGTGTTATAACTGCAAACATGGGTTGTCTGAGAGCTGAACTCTTTGTAAGCGTAGCGTATTGCGAAATCCACTCCACCTCCCATCTTTTTAAGGGAAACACTTTGAAATGATGTTCACTTCTGAGCAGAAATGCAGGTTTTTCTTTAGCCGTGTGTAGGAGGATAGTTAGAAGGATGTATGGGTCATTCTTATGAGGACAAACAGTTACCAGTTTTATTTGTTCACTGTGATAGAAAAAAAACATGTTGTGTTTGTACTGTGTAGCAGAATAATGTGTATTCTATCTAAAACAAATGACAGAATTTTAGCCCCTTTTTTAAAAACTATTTGAGGATATGAGCTTCCATTAGAAAGGAAAGTGAACACCCTCACATAATAATGAATAAAAACTTAAGTCATATATGTTATTATACATTTCTGATCTTCGACTGGGAGATTTTTTGCAGTCAACCAAAATAGTATTTTCAAGTTCAATCATGAAAATGGCCGGCAATATTTATGTTTATTGCAGTATCTTATTTGGGATTAGTACATACCATCAGAGGAGTAAACAGTGCGAAGCCTCTAAGAGGTAATGAAGAAAACAAAACCACTTCAGTGGTATCTGCTATTAACCATTGTTGCATAAAGCTTGAGGTTGTTCAAGTTAAAGTCTTTTTTCTCTAAAAGGGCAACCGAGGGTTGGAAATTTTTTTTATAAGAAATTCAAAGACATGCTGGCTTTAACTAGATTGAACAGTTTTATTTTCGTATGAACAAAAGAGGCGTGTGATCAGCAGAAGAGGGGTCTTACATACACAGTTTCCTCATCATGCTGTCAAGTAAAAACAAAGGACAGACCACCGAATGCTATTTTTTATTCCGTCTCGGCTCATCTAATGCTACCTTGGCACCTCGCGTCACTTGGATTTATCTGGAGCACATTATTCTAATGTGTTACACCATTTTGGCACAGCAGCACTCACAATCCACAGGCGTCTCAGCAGCTGCCATGCTGCCATCAGGGAGAAGATTAAAAGCCCTCCCCAGTGGAAGCAGAGTCATTGCACTAACATCAGCCACCTCATTTGGATTCAATTGCACAATATAGGTAAACTCCATGGTACACGAAAAGTGATTGTCAAACTACAAAATGTATGTACAAGTTTGGCACAAGTATAAGATGACGTGAGATTTACAAACGCTAAAGGGCAACATTTCCTCCACTTGCGATCACTTTCTGCAGGCAGTCTCCTCTTTTGGCATCGTTTTAAAAATCGTTTGGAGAAAAAAATAAAATTAAATCTGCTTCACTTTTCCCTGATCCCTGCAGCAAAAATCAACAGGGAGCAGGGAGAGGTTGGAATGGCAAAGAATACTGTTTTTTTTTAACATCAGATCAATTCCTTTTGTCTTTTGTCCTTTCTTTTTCAGCCTTCTAGGTGTTGGCCAAGTGTCCTCTCGGTGTCGCACCTGCGGCCCTGCCCCCTGGATCATATCATATCAGGGCATTGCTATCGTCATCTCCGCAGTTCACGCTGGCCACCAGCGGGTGATGCCGAATGCTTTTGTTGCTCCATTTGTGCGCGTCCTGCAGCCCGGGCTCGAGGAAGTACAGGCACGCTCCGAAGCCCGCCAGCACCAAAACCGACACCAGCAGGTACAGGGGCACGAACCAGTCCAGGAACAACCAGGACATAGCGGCTGTCAAGGGGGTGGGGGGGGGCGCACAGGGATGGGAACGGCGCAGGAGGACTGGAGGGCAGAAGAATAACGGAAAGGGCAAGGGGGGAGGGAGGCAGGATGAGGGATGTGGAGAGGGGTTTGGATGAACAGTTACTCCAAATCTTACAAATACGCAATACAGACTGCTGTACATTCATTACCTGCAGAGAAAAATCCTAAAATCCTATCATTCAGATTGTCCAAAATCACCATCACCTGTATCGGATGGAGATACCTGACCCGGCTGACTGGCACATGTGCACAAAAAGAGACACGGACGGGATTGAATAGCCCTGTGGCATCATACCTGTGGACGGTGCTCGACCGGGTCGGTCGCTGAGGAGTTTGAGGAGCGATTCGCAGAGTCAGCAGGCGGCCGGTCGGAAGAAACCGCGGGATGAATCTAATCTCGGCGCACGAAAGCTCCGCTGTTGCATGCGGGCTGGCAGGAATCACAGGTGCTCACTGAGAGACGGAGGCTGCATGCGGCTTCATCCTCTCCAGCGCCCGACTCTGACGTTCAGAGGAGGGGCCGGCGTCGCCATGACAACGCTCTGGTGCTGATGGCTGAAAGGATGGAGGGAGTGGGAGGACAACTTATATAACTATAATAATTTTTTTTTTGGGGGGTGGTGGGTTGGGGGGAGTGTGGGGGGGGAAGTTTAAGCCCTTTAGATGTCTATGGTTTCTCGCCTCCTTGCTGCTCACTGCATAAAATCTATTCCACCCCATTTAACACTGGGGCGATCCAACAGTTTATGTGACATTGAGCAAGAAGGGTGTGTGTGTGTGTGTGTGTGTGTGTGTGTGGGGGGGGGGGGGATCATAAGATACAAAAATGTCTCTTATGATTCCACTCTGACCGACAGCGGCTGCAGTGTTTAACACTCACTCCCCACATGTTCGTTTTTCCCCTCTTCCTGCCGAGACAAAAGATGAGAGGATGGCCTATATAACGGAAAGCTTTTGGAGTGTATCGTCCTTCTTCCACAGCCCCTTTTCACAGCCCGCCCTGGAAACAAATTCCTAAAAAGCAAGTGGATCGAGTTCGACTGAAGAGCCGAGCTTTCTCACTGCAGCGGTTGTATGAGGATGTTGCATTAATTGAGAAATGTCAGTTATTTATCAAGTTAAAGCGTTTACGTACACACACTGTCTTCACATTTCTGAAATGGTAGAAGATAGTAGAACAAAATCGGTTTAATAAAAAATGACTGAGATCTATTCATTGCTGATCAAATTATTGTGATCTAATATTAAATGGTTAATTTTATTTCACGTTGTGGCTTGAAGATTATGTATGTTGCATGCTGGCCTTCCTTTCCCTCTTTTACAGTCTGGATGAATGAATATTCAAGGATTTTAGAAAAACTTTGTAACAAAAGGAGAAGCCCCACTTGGCCAAGCTTTCAGACACTGAAATTGTGTCTAATTGGGTTAAAAAAAGATAGTCAGTTTTCAATATGTATATTTGCAACATCGGAAAACATAGACCACGTGCAAAAATATCAAACAGTTCCTCGTTATTTATGCTTTATTAACATAATAATTTCTAATCCAAAGACAGCAACAAGTCATGGCAAAAGGTTGCCATGATTGGTCCATTCAACAAAATGGTGCACAATTGAATCAGTAAAAGACTCAAAACTGCGTCTAAAGAAAACCTTAAAGAGGCAGAGTATCTCTAAGGTCAAGATTGGTAAGGTTCAACAATCTGCAGCAACGGTATCCACAAACAGTTGACTAATTTCAGAAAAATGTCTCTCCATGTAAAACTGTGAAGAATGTCCATTATCTACTATTATCAGTATCAGATTGATGTAATATTCCATCCCCCAGTATGATTCTGGCATGGAAATCTGTGCATTAGCTCAGGAACACTTCTCTAGTGTCTGTGATTGTTGTGTTTGTGAACACTTTCAACCACATTTACAGGTTAAAACTCTATCATACAAAGAGGAAGCCATATCTGGAAACATTTAGTTCATCTCTAGACCAACGCTTATATAAAACAAAGGTTAGATCAGATAATACAACATTTAAATGAAATGTTTCAGAAAAGAATATATCAGCCAACTCAAGGCCAAGCCTTGTTCTAAAGCCTTAATCCATTATGGCACGGGGGGTCCATTAGGTACAGGTTTTAAAGCTACAAATGCTAATGTCCAAATTTTTCCAAACCATTGTGGGTGGAATTCTTGTCATAACGTAAAAAATTGCATATATATTTCTTTGATACAGTAAAATGCCTAACACTTCCGCTGCTAACAAAATATTGGTTTGTGAGAATTAGAAATCACTTTATTGTTTCTACTCATACTACTTCCCAACTATTTTTAAACTGGAGTTGTGGAGGAACATTACAATCTTTGTGATTGCAATTGATTCCATTACATTTGTTCCAGCTAAGCTTTTCTCCACACATTTAAAATGCTTTTCACTCAAAACTATGATCAAATT